GCGAGTCATCCGGTGCTCCACATTGCAGATCCCAAACTTACATTCGTAGTAACTACGGATGCCAGTTTGTATGGGATTGGTGTAGTGCTGCAGCAAGATGATGGTGACGGTTTACGTCCGCTCGAATTCTACAACAGATGTATGCCCAGTCACAAGGTAGTTGCCTCCACTTACATGTGAGAGCTCTATGCCTTGAGAGAGGTGCTAGATCATTGGAAGCACTATCTCTTGGGTCGCCATTTCAAAGTATTATCAGACCACGATACCTTGAAATGGATTCAGACACAGACCAATCCCTCAACTACACTGACCCGCTCGCTGCATGAGATTGTTGTGTATGATTTCAAACTTAGGCATAAGAAAGGTTGTTACAATCGCGTTGCGGGTGCTTTGTCTCGCCACCCTGAGTACATGACTTGTCTTGTGGGTTCCTATGATCTCCGTAAGAATTTGAAGGAGGAACTCGTTAACCATACTGCCAAGGACCCGGAACTCAGGCCCATCCTTGAGCAGATTCGGGATGACCCTAGCAGTCAGCCTGATTTCCATGAGTGTAAGGGCTTACTTTTTCGACGTTACGGGAAGCACGACCGACTGTGTGTACCCAACCATGAGCCGATCCTTACTCACTTCTTGGACTTGGCTCATGGTTGGAGTGGACACTTTGGTTTTGAGAAAACATACGGAAGTCTGCTGCAAAAGTTTGTATGGCCTGGAATGAAAGGAATGACACGAAAGTTTGTGGCTAAGTGTGAAGTCTGTCAACGCATCAAACCATTTCGGCAGAAGCCCTATGGGCTGCTGCATCCTCTTCCTATTCCTGATGGCCCGGGTGAGTCTCTTTCCATCGACTTGACATGGGGAAGAAGAGTAGGAATGAATATTCGCAAGTAATGGTCATCGTTGACCGCTTTTCAAAATTTCTGAATCTCATCCCATTACCACCTCACGCCCCAACTGACCTTGTGATCAAAGAGTTTCACAAAAAGTACATTCTGCAGTGTGGACCCCCGAAAACTCTTGTAAGTGATCGGGACACTAAGTTCATAAGTGCAGATTAGAAGGACTTCACCTCCCAGATCTATGACATCAAACTCAAGATGACGTCTGGTCGACATCCTGAAGCCAATGGGCTGGCCGAGGAGATCAACCAGACTGTGATCCAACTTCTCCGAGCTCTAATTGTGCCTGATCAGAACTCTTGGGATGAGGAGTTGTCGATTGTGCAGGGGTTGTACAACAACTCCATACACTCCTCCACTGGGATGACACCTAACCGGCTATACCTGGGGTGGAAAATTCGCAATTTTCTATCCTATCTGTTTCTTAAGCAGCCACCTGGCCTGACACCTGGCCAGCCAGGCTACAACGCTAAGTTTGATCGTTTGCTCAAAGTTGTTGTCGCAGCAATGGAAAGGCGACGCAATGCCATGATTAAGCATGCAAACAAAAAACGTCAGCCTGACCCTTTCACAGTGGGAAGTCTAGGTTAAGATGTCTGAGTTTTCTAAAGAAGAAGGTGTATCACGGAAGCTTCTTCCTCAGTACTACGGTCCGTAGAAGGTGCTGAACTGAGTCGGAGATGATTCCTTTGGTCCTTCTTACACGATCGACGTGCCTACTCATCTCCGCATGTACCCAGTCTTTCATGCGTCGAAGTTGTTTTCCTATGAACCACCTGAAACTTTTCCGTAACGAGAATCAATGATTCCCCGCGCAATCAATGGCAGTCACGAGGTTGATAGAATTGTCGAGCACAGTGGAAAGGGAAGAAACAGACAGTACAAAGTCCATTTTTGTAGCACCCTTTGAATGACTTGTACTGGATCGATAAGAAAGACTTGCTGCAGAGTGCCCCGCGAGTCATCAACGCATATGAACGATTGATTAGTTCTGAACAGCAGCCTAAATACACTGCTACCCTCACTCCTACGGAACATACCCGCTCTCTCTTTGCTATTTACGCTTATGATGCATTATGCAAGGACTCTGATCGAGTTACTCGCTCGAAGGGACCTCGCTCTTGAGGGGGGGTAGTGTAATGTTGGATACTGTAACGGTGCAGACCAAAACAAGAACCGACCTCTCTCACAAAGTACAAGATAGCGTAGCGGAAGACTTAGATACCAATGATCCGAACAATCAATATTGCAATGCAGCCCCGAACATACATCATCATCATCATCACTCCATGGTGTGAAGGGGTCTGGCGCTCACACAGGAAGAATGCGCCAGCCCCAACCATACACAGACGAAGAAGTGGGGGGTTAGACGAAGAAGAGGGGAAAATGGGAATGTCGTCAACACCAAGTCTTCGGCACAAGCCCAAATAGTCCCTCGTCAAAATGTATGAATCCCAATGTCGAGTCTGGATCCAATGTCGTCAAGTCTCAAGTCACAACTCTCTCTCTCTCGGTCGTAATCTGCAGATACTGAGAAGTCAGATAGGGAGAGGGTGAAGAAGAGATGGTGGACTTAGAAGAGGAAGAAGAAGAACTCTCTCTCTCTCTCTCTCTCTCTCTCTCTCTCTCTCTC